CACAAGATTGCATTACTTCCAGCATAGTAAAAGTACGCTAAGAATACAATTTAAACATACACATGAAACTAGTTATACATTGATTACAAAAAATAAGTGCTTCTTTTCATCAATTGATTGCCATTAAACTGATCAATCCAACTATCATATAGAATATTCGTTGAAATTTTGAATTTGTAGCTGAGAGAAGAATTGAAAGAAAAAAGAGATCGAGAAAGAAGACTGACAAAAGTTGCGTATGAATTTCTCAATGTACAATGGTTATCAGTCAGTCAGCTACAACGTAGGACCAGGCACATTTATGCATCGGTTAAAGTTGCCATACCTCGATAGCACAACAAGAAAAACAATGGATTCATAGAAATAGTTAATTTAGTGGTGGTAATATATGAAAGATAGGTTGTATATAAGGATATAGTATAGGAAGGAAGACAGATTTGAAGCGATTTTAATCTCAAGGTTTAAGAGAAGGTAAAGAGTGTATACACCTAAGCCATTGTGATCGATTCTGAGCCATATCACCTAGAGTCTCCAATCATTGGTTACGATAGTCGCGCAGACCCCAACCAAGTAGTCTGCATCTGCTAACATGGCTCAGACTAGAAGATAGTGACTTCAAACACTGATGCCATGTTTTGGTTTGGCCGTCCCTAACTCTCTTCCAATCATCCCTCACACTAGAGGGCATTGCGCGTCGTGGTAATCGGTGTTCAGGCATACGTAACACATGGCCTAACGATCTCAGTCGATGAAGATTCATGACCTCGTCAACTGATTTACCATCATTCCCTAATACCCTTTGTCTAACCTCACTATTACTTACTCGGTGATCCCTGCAGATGCGAGAAATATTTCTAAGGCATCTGTGGTTATACTGAATAAAGTTTATTTAAGATATCCTATTTTCAATCTACTACTCACATGATCGATCTTTCATAAAACAATTTCCATTTAAACAGTATGTCTTTCCCTCCATATGAAAATGTGTCATTCATAGATGAGTAAACGAAACGAAGAGTGCTTTATGCGTTACAGATAAAACGGATCGATTAATAGATGAATGATTGAAGAACAGAAATCTTCACTATTGGGTCATAGGTTCGAATCTTGTTCCATTTTGATACGTCTTGTTGATTGAACGCTATGTTCGTTTCCTAAGCTATTCTGGTAACCCACAGGCTAGAACTACTCAGCGACTTGAACAACAGAGAGAAGACGCAAGTATGAGAGAAAATACTTTACTCCAAGGTTCGTTCTTGTACAGAAAATCATGGGTATTTATAGATGTTAGCGTCTTTTAAATCAACATCGTATTTTAGCCAATCCGTTAACGACATATTATGCTACCGACCAATAGTAGCACGCCACGTTGGAATTCTAGAATGTTCCATCATACTCTGATTGGCTAGGGCTCTTTGGCCCCTTTTGGGCCTCTGAAGGCTCCGTTGAAGTTCTCCGGAAGCCGACTCAACACATTTAATTCGGTTGTTGAGTTGGACAGGACTACTAGTCCATACAATACCTTTCCAGTACTTCTTGGTTTTCAGTGCTTCTACAGTTGATTTCAGTTCATGAGGAAAATTAAAGTGTCATTGTAAGTCCCCTTTAAAAAAAGACATAGTCCATCTTATTGTAGAATTAATTGCTTAAAAGAGCGCAACTGAGCGATCAGTATGTGTACTTCAAATCATTTCAATGACTAACCAAAGAATTGCTTATAATTCAAAGGGAGATAACGTAAAATAACAAATTACAATTAAAATCATTCAAGTGACTTATTATCAAGTAAAGATTTGAAGGATGGTTACCTTTTTTGAATACTTGAGACTCGGGACATATAAAAGTGATTACACCCGCTTTAATAATAATATTATTATTACTGATATTCTAATGAGATTTATATAAATGATACAAATGAGTGAGAAGCCATGACCGGCGGAGTTTGACCGTGTCTAGTGTGAGGCAGTTGCCTACCAAAGACAGTGGAAGATGGTCGCTCGATATCTTGAATTGATTGGAGTTTGACACCAACACTGCCAGATGCCAGCTTAGTAGTTAGGAGTCTATGCACTTACGTAAAAGACCGAAAGTCCTGAGTTCGACTCCCGCATGTGAGCCCTTGAATGGGCATTGATTTGAAGTTCCATACTAGGACAGTATAGATGCCAAGCGCTCTCAGATCTTACGATCCCAATGTAATGTTAATGCGTTATTCCGATAAGCTTAACCGATGCAGTCACATCATATGCTTAGACGCAGATGCTAGGTTAAATGATAAGTGAGCATTGTTGAATGATAGACGTTTTGGTTAGGATTTGGCTGTTATCTGAGGTTTGTTTCGCAATTGATTTCTGAAGTCAATTCAGTCTCCTGTTTATCCGTTGTTTATTTACTCAAGTATAGTGATCTGCTTTTCTCGACGAGAACGCGATTGGTATAATGGGAACAATTATTATTATAACCAATCGTACCAATGATTGTCTTACTGTACTCGTTGTTGTTTAAATGTATCAAAATCACTTTTCGTTCGGTCGCCCGCCTTGTCCGTTCAAACTTTCTTGTGCTCTGCATTTGCCTGTACTCGTTGGAACGTCTCGGTATTTTTTCGATACCATGAGATCGCCAATAAATATACTTTATCTGGACCAGTTACAGTCTTTTGTTTTACGAGCTATCAAAGGAACCAAGTCGATTTCGGGCGCGTAATTTTACTGTAATGGTGATCATAGTCAATCGAGATCCGATGCCATCTATATCTGGTGAGCCCGACGCCATCTACACAAGTACCAATCACGGATAGTTTATGGAAAACATATAGATATCAGAATAAAAATCTGAACGATAGCCAAAAATAATACAGTTATTGGAAATTTTCAAAAACGTACCATCGTTTGTGCTTGTGGAAGTACCTGTAAATGAAATGAATGTCAAATAAAATATAATACTTAATAAATAATAATAATATATTTCGGGAATTATAATTATATGGAATTCATGCCAGTCTACAGGCATGATCACCTTGATATAGATAGTAATATCAAGTGTAGAGAACATATGGGATCTTATACTGCATAAAGTGTTACATTTCAAAAATTATTTAGTTAATACATTTTTCACGTGTATCTCATCAATGAGAGGCGTCTCCCCGGAACTTTTGCTTCTTTTAAAGTGGACATCCTTCAGCTGAAACTACCCACGATTGATGCAGATCAGAATTCAGTAAACTTACAACAATGCGCATCAGAGCATATAAAGCAGCAAAGAAACCAAACACCCAATCGACATGTATTTGATTGCCGACTGTCTGACTTGCCTCTTAGAGTCAATCCTTCCCCCGAAGTTACTCATACAGTTTGATGAATTCCCTTATCTACATTGTTCTATTTCCAGAAGCTGTTCACTTTGAAGATATTCTGAGGATGTAGATAGACTCGCCAAGAAAATTATACTGCCTCTCTTAGATTTTCAAAGGCCAACAAAAGAGTCACGGACACCATAAGAAGCGTTGAGCTTTATATATCAATGTTATAGAATGAAAATTTTCTTTCTTTTAAAGTTTACATAAAAATAAACTGAATTAGTTATGGTTTTTCTTCTTCAAAAAACAAAGAGTCAATTTATTTAAGGTGTATTCGAAAAAATTAAAATGGCTGCAAGCGTGAGTCAACTGAAGCTAGATCATTAAGGAAAACGTGGAAGCACTGGACGGCTGTTTCGTCTTATTGTGGAGTTTGATATAAACACTATCGAATGCCGGCTCAGTGGTCTATCGGTTGAGTGCTCTGGCGCGAGACTGGTAGGTCCTGGGTTCGAATCTCGCGAGGTGGGATCGTGGATGCGCACTGCTGGGGAGTCCCACAATAGGATGAAATGGCCATCCACTGCTTCCAGGTTTTCCTTGGTGGTCTAGCTTCAATTGACTTACGCTTGCAACTATGAAAATACTAAATCTCCACAAAACCGTTTCTGATGATAATTAAAATGGTGTATAATACTCAGAAATTGACATTGATGCATAAAAACGGTAATTCACTTTCCTGTTATTACATTTGACCAGAGTAACGTAGTTTTATTTTAATACATAAAATTAATACTAATGTTATATCTACAGAAACCTAACAAGATCTAAAAAGATACATAGATATGTAATGGATTCAAAATATTGTATGAACTGAGTAATAATGTCAGGATGTTTAGGATGCGTTTCTCTCCATCTAAATGTAAACTGTTACTTCAGGACTGGTTCGCATCAACACCTAAACTAAAGATAGAGAATGAAGTAGTGGAACGCGTTGACAACTTCACTTATCTTGGAAGTACGATTAGCCGTAATGGGTTGGTGTTTAACGAAATCTCAGCACGGATTCAAAAAGCTCGTTTGGCTTTTGCCAACTTACGTCACCCATGGCGAAGGCGAGATATCCGTCTATCAAATAAGGGACGAGTATACTGCGCAGCAGTACGCTCTGTTCTACTTTACGAATGTGAAACATGGCCATTAAGAGTAGAAGATACTCGTGATTTACTAGTATTTGATCACAGATGCCTTGGAAATATTGCTCGCATCTACTGGGATCACCGATTACCACGACGCGCAATGCCATCTAGTGTGAGGGATGATTGGAAGAGAGTTAGGGACGGCCAAACCAAAACATGGCATCAGTGCTTGAAGTCACTATCTTCTAGTCTGAGCCATGTTGGTAGATGCAGACTACTTTGTTGGGGCCTGCGCGACTATCGTAACCAATGATTGGAGACTCTAGGTGATATGGCTCAGAATCGATCACAATGGCTTAGGTGTATACACTCTTTACCTTCTCTTAAACCTTGAGATTAAAATCGCTTCAAATCTGTCTTCCTTCCTATACTATATCCTTATATACAACCTATCTTTCATATATTACCACCACTAAATTAACTATTTCTATGAATCCATTGTTCCTCTTGTTGTGTTAACGAGGTATGGCAACTTTAACCGATGCATATATGTGCCTAGTCCCACGTTGTAGCTGACTGACTGACTGTTTGTATGAATTAAAACACATCCAACCTCCGATGAAGGCAAGATGTGCTTTCTTGACTACAGTTACTAAGAGACATTTAACCAAGATACAAATGTAGATAATGTTGAGAGATTCATTCAAGAATACAATTTCATGGGGTGTGCTATTTGGATGACACAGTTTTATTTAACCAAATGAATATCAGGTTAGCAAAATCAAATTAATCATTAGTGTCATTACAGTCATGAACCCATTAATGTTAGACCGCCAGTGAAAATCTGAAAGCACTAGTTAACCGTTTCATCCTCGTCAGGGGTTCCTCAGCAGTGAAATGTTTTTGACCGATTATTTCAATATTAAACATACGAAAGAATAATTGACAATACAGAATAATAGAACTTACTAAAATAACTGGGGGTTGTGGTATCTATAAAGTAAAATAGGGAATAACAAGTGATACAATACTTTAATATAATTAAGATGAATAATTGTAAACTACTTAATGATTATGTTCATATTTTTTATTTACATAGATGCTAATAGGAAGAGATCAATGATATAGTGGTTAACTTAGATTGAATCACTCGATAATAAGAATTGAGACAACACTTGAGATAAATCATTTATCAGAAGGAGTTTTTGTGGAGATTTCAGTATTTTCATAGTTGAGATCATGAGTCACTTGAAGCTAGACCACCAAGGAAAACCTGGAAGCACTGGACGGCCGTAAACTATTGTACAGAAGTTATGTAGCTCCGTATAAAAACTCGCAACTGTAGTTATCCGTCATGTTCAAAAAAATGTTCCTTATCACTTTTGGTCATTTTTCATTTGATGTACTGCATTGGGATGTGTATTTGACGTTTAAGATGTGATTGGCTACTGAGCGTGGACAAACAGTCATTCGGTTAACTGACTACTTTATATTGATAGAAGCTGAACTTGTACAATGTTGGATACCGGCTCTGTAGTCTAGAGGCTAAATGTTGTAGCGTGGAGTGAGGATGCCCATTGCTGAGATGTTATATAATAGGGCGGAACGGCCGTGTATACCATATCGATCAAGTATGCAGTCTATTGGTAGTATAATCTTGATCACCGGTCGTATGATCGTATTACACTAGAGGATTTTGTTGAAAAAGGAATATTTTTATTCAGTTGTTACATCAATATTGTTGTGTATTATTCATGATGGTTTTGATCTGAAGACCGTATGTTTACTCTATATGTACTTTTCTCTCGGAGTGTTGACCTACGCTACGCTATACTGCACCTATTCAGAGCGGACAGTCAGGAATAACTCCAACCATAAATCAGTCAATATAAAAATTCAAACTAACAAGTAATCTATTTTATAAGAGAATCTTCGTTTTATTTTGATATCACTGATATGCTCATTTTGATGAATAATTAAACTTACAAGTAGTACCATCTGTGGTAGAGTCTAAAATTGGATAAAGACACAAGAAACCAGAAACATTAAAATAACATTATAAAATAATGAAATTCATTAGTATGAATTGTTAACTACTATCCTAATTATCAGAAGGGGTTTTGTGGAGATTTTAGTAATTTTATAGAGTTGAGATCATGGGTCAATTGAAGCTAGATCACCATAGAAAACCTGGAAGCTGAGGATCCCATAATAGGAGGAAACGGCCGTCCAGTGCTTCCAGGTTTTCCATGGCGGTCTAGCTTCAATTGACTAATGATCTCAACTCTATAAAATTACTATCCTGATTGTTAGTCTACAAGTTTATTTGCAAAATAATCAAATCTGATCCGAATTATATTACAATAATAAGAATAAACGACTAATGTTTTTGAGTGGTAATGTTTTGTTTTCTTGAAATTCGATATGTAAAAATGATTAAACGGAATGCGTTATATGTAGAGCTTAGATTCTTGCTATACCACGTACTACTAGACTAATTGAATGATCGACCCCGCAATGTCGCAAGAGAGGTTACAGAAAACTAGTCAGTAGGAATGTTGTTCCCAACACAGTGTCAAATATAGTACAAAAATCTCATGTATTTATAGCATTTTGGCTGAAAGTAAATCATCATTTCGGACATCCAATAGGCACATAGGGGATCCTTCTTATTCATCCAATAGGGAAGCTACACATCGACGTTCTAGAATGTTCCTCTAGCGGTGATTGGATGGAATGTCTTCGGCTCTTTCTGGGCTTCTTGAAGCTTCCTTAAGTTTGTCAACATACCATCCTTACAGAATAAGTAAGTAAATTGGTTAGATATCAATTATCCAAGAAAATAGAATGAACATTCATCACAAGTAATCCAAAGTATTGATTATATATGATAGTGACGAATAAGAAATAAATAAAGACTAAATGAACTGAATTTAATCACTAGGTTAATGTTAACTTTGAATTAGAGTAAATTTCTAGTATTAACTATGATATTTATGGATATCATAAATACAAAACGAAATATTCACAAATAGAAGGTCCTATGTAGAACTTACTTTCTACTTTTGGTTTATTAGCTGAAATAAATAAAGTAAATTACACTTAGTATTATGTGTAACTATAGATATGTCTATCAAGATATAGCAATTAATTAATATTACAGTATATAGTACATAAGTAAGTTATTGATAGGGATGTTAAATCCCCACCAGCTCCATTGAACCCACCCAACATCGAAGCAGCACCCATGGACCTCCTAATCGATGTTGGCCCACCAACAATTGAAGAGATCAACATGGTCATCAGACAAATCAAGAGCTGCAAAGCAGCGGGATCAGACAACATCCCGGCAGAGGCACTGAAAACAAATGTAGCAGCAACTGCCAAGATACTCCACATCCTCTTCAGTAAGATTTGGGACGAAGAACATGTACCAATAGACTGGAAAAAAGGACTTTTGATCAAGATACCAAAGAAAGGCTATCTCAGCAAGTGCGACAACTACAGGGGCATCACTCTTCTCTCAATATCAGGAAAAGCCTTCAACAGAGTATTGTTAAACAGGATGAAGGATTCCGTGGACGCCCAACTTCGAGATCAACAAGCTGGATTTCGAAAAGAATAGATCGTGCACAGATCAAATCGCAACTCTACGTATCATTGTGGAATAATCAATCGAATGGAACTCATCACTCTACATCAACTTCATCGACCATGAGAAGGCAGCATACCTACAACTGAAAAACATCTGGAGCTCAAAACAATTGTCAATCAACACCAAGGTTAGAATTTTCAGTACAAATGTCATGACAGTTCTACTGTATGGGTTGGAGACGTGGAGAACTACGAAGGCCATCATCCAGAAGATACAGGTGTTTATTAACAGTTGTCTATGTAAGATACTTCGGATCCGGTGGCCAGACACTATCAGCAACAAGTTACTGTGGGAGAGAACAAACCAAATTCCAGTGGAGGAAGAAATCAGGAAGAAGCGATGGAAGTGGATTGGGCACACCTTGAGAAAATCACCCAATTTCGTCACAAGACAAGCCCTCACATGGAAGGTCAAAGGAGAAGAGGAAGCCCAAAGAACACATTACGCCGAGAAATAGCGGCAGACATGAGAAGAATGAACAAGAACTGGATAGAACTAGAACAGAAGATCCAGGACAGAGTGGGTTGGAGAAAGCTGGTCGACGGCCTAGGTTTAAGTAAGTAAGTATGTATGTTAAATCCCCAGAACTTACTTGGTAAATGGCCTAATTTTGTAATTATATTTTGAAAATTTGAATTTCTTTGTTTTCGCGCCAAAAGCGCTCTTTTCATCTTCGAGTCGAATTTCCCACTTGTAAAATATCTTAAATGCTATTGGTCCGTTTTATCTTTGAGTGTGTTATTTTGTAATACTGCCCAAGGATAATTTGTTGCTGTATTTATACGTTTGATTTTTTTTCCCTTATGATTGCTGTGCTTCTGGCTGCTACGGAATATATTTTCCACGCTTCCAACTTGGACTTCTTACTCTAGTTAGGTGGGTCTGGATTGAGTCAGAATAGCTAGCTTATCGGTCTCTGATCACAAGTCTTTGTTTCGTTCGCTAACTAATGAATTCGAAAAGCTTTAAATATAACAGTTATATTTTGCCAAAAGATTTATCCATTAGCAAAGTATTTAAGCAATTTCGTCTAATTAATAGAATTAAGCAAGTGATAGTTTTCTGAGTCTACTGAAGATCTAAAGCGAATTATGAGACGTTTCAATAGTACGCGTGACCACAACTTTAGAAATGATTAAATTTGCAACCCTTGGTTCTCTATATCTCTAGATAGGTGACTAGAAATATTGTGTGATTTGTTTACAAATATATTCAATACATGATTTATCTAGTCTTATCTAATATTATTAGTGAATTGTAGTCTATCATTCAAATTCGTTGATTCCTACAAAACCTGTAAGAGATCTATTTCGAACGTAGTTATCATTAAAATATTATCAGAAGGGGGTTTTGTGCAGATGTTGGTAATTTTACAGTTGAAATCATGAGTCATTTGAAGCTAGACTACCATGGAAAACCTCGAAGCACTAAACTGCCGTTTCTTCATATTTTGGGACTCCTCAGCAGTGCGAATCCATGACCCCGATTCGTGAGATTCGAACACACAACCTATAAGTCTCGCATGCGAGCGCATAAATTCTAAACCACTGAGCCAGCTAGCATCCAACAGTGTTAGTGTCTAGCTTCAACCAATCCACTAAATTGAGCAACCATCCACCATTGTTTTCAGTGAGTTATACGATTTATTATTCCTAGGTTATTTCCAGTTTATTAGTTACAGTATCTCACGATCACAGACAATTTTAGTTCGGCCTTTTAGAATTATTATTTTTCACCTTATGGTGAATGAAATCTGGTTTGTTTGTAATATAAACCAAGTATGTGTGTAATATACGATTCACACAAAGAGAGGATTTGTGTTTGTATTCTCGATTGAACGTGTTCGGATTTATGAGCAGTTACAACACAGAAGATCAATAGGAACTCAGAATTGACTGAGATCTGCTAGTGCTGTTTCACACAACATTGGTTTAGTATAGGGACAAAGTCATAGAAGTCCGTATTCTATTGGTCACTATTGTCACTTGGTATTCAACTAGGCATATCACATGATACTTTAGATAAGTAATTCAAGTACAGTTTCATACGTTCAACATTTCAGTTGAAAGGAAATTACAAACATCATGAACTATTTAATTATGTAAAGTCTCACTGTTCATTACAAATATGTGTATAAATAATCAAAGTGAAACAAAGCTTTAAAACTATACTCACTGAACTCAGTTGTTGTACTGGTCACTGTTGTATTATCTACAAATGCAGATAATCACAACAAGAAAAATAATTAAATGATTTATTAATGGGAAACAGTCAAAACTTAAAATGGGAAGTAGAAGAAGAAGAAGAAGAAGAAGAAGAATAGTTGGGAATTATTTTACTTATCCCAATGTTCTTCAATGATCATTATATGTCCAATACCATTATATGTTACAGAACAGTCAGTATTATAAATATTTTATGTTCTGATGATGTATGTAAAAGAATTTGGTTCAGTATTTAAAGAAGACTCAAACTGAAGTACTTTGGCGAGACTACAATTGATGGATGGACCAATCATGTATAAGATAATAGGTGTTAGATTTCGATGCGGAATTCATGCATTCATTTGGCTAAATGTCGCTTTAGCACTTTAGCTAATTTCAATTGGTGATGGAAACCCTGAATCTAGTTTCTAGGCCTGACTGTCAACCGTCAGTCATAATTTTCATTACTCACAATGCTTTAGTTAATAGGTGTACATTCTCAGGGTCAGTATAGTGTCACTAAAAGGTCGTAAGAAATTATGGTCTCACCAATTAGTTTGCAGTTGTCACAACTTACTAACTTACGTCTGTTACTCCAAATGGACCATAGGCCGCTAACCAGCATTCTCCAACCCACTCTGTCCTGGATCTTCTTTTCTAGTTCTATCCAGTTCTTGTTCATTCTTCTCATGTCTGTCTCCATTTCTCGGAGTAATGTGTTCTTTGATCTTCCTCTTCTCCTTTGACCTTCAGGATTCCATGTGACTCGTTAAAAAAATGCTAACGAGATCAAATAACCCAAACCATTTAAACTCTGCCCTCCCAATTGAAGGAACATTTATGACACCTCATGATGAAAGCCGAGTTCCTTCGGAAGTCACGAGGCCGATACTCCTTCTTTCAACCAGAGCAACACTCTTTTTAGGTACATGGAACGTCCGAACAATATGGGGTACCGGGAAGGCCAGTCAAATAGCAATTGAAATGAGGGGATACCAATTTGGCAGTACTTGGAATCAGCGAAACCCATTGAACAAGAGCTGGACAGCAATGGCTAGATACAAGAGAGATGCTGCTGTACTTCGATCACGAAAGGGAAAATGCTCCACACGCTCAGGGAGTTGCTATAATGCTGTTCAAAGAAGCATGAAATGCAATTGTAGGACGAGAATCTCATGGATCTAGAATTGTCAAAACATTCGAAACAAAGGAGATCACAATGAACGTTATCCAATGTTATGCACCCACCAATGATAGCAACGACGACCATAAACAAATATATGTTCATTCAGCAAATTGGTTATAGGCGGCACAATATTCCCACACAAACGCATGCATAAAGCTACATGGATCTCACTGGACCACACCACAGAGAACTAGATAGATCATATTTGTATCAACAAAAAATTCCGAAGGACAATGGTAGATGTTAGAACCAGGAGAGGAGCTGATATATAGCCTCAGATCACCACCACCTGATTGTTGTCATCAAGAAACTGAAGCTAAAGAAACACTGGACAAACAGCAGTACAAAGGTTCAATACAGCCTTCCTTCGAGATACTGACAAGCTCAACGAATTCAAGATAACTCTCAACAACAGGCTCCAAGCTCTACAGGATCTACTGAAAGAACAAGAAACTACTATAGAGGAATATTGTAAAAGAGATAAAAGAATCACTAACTTCAACGTGTCAGGAGGTTCTTGGTCTCAAGAAGCATCATCACAAGGAATGGATCTCTATGGTAACCCTGGACAAGATTCAAGAAAGGAAGAACAATAAACTAGCAATTAACAACAGTCGAACACGAGCAGAGAAAGTCAAAGAACAAGCAGACTATGCAGAAGCAAACAAGGAAGTGAAGAAAAGCATTAGGGCCGACAAGCAGAAATACATGAGAGAACTAGCAACGACAGTGGATAAAGCTGCAAGTGAAGGGAATATGAAACAACTATACGATACAACGAAAAACTAGCAGTGAGATATAGTAAACAAGAGAGACCAATCAAGGACAAAGAAGGAAAGATAATCACTGAGACTCAAGAACAAAAAAAAAGATGAGCAGAATACTTCGAGGAACTGCTGAATAGACCAGCCCCATTGAATCTACCGGACATCGAATCAGCACACACTGACCTTCCTATAGATGTCACTCCACCAACGATCGAAGAATTCAAGATGGCCATCAGACAAATCAAAAGTGGGAAGGCGGCAGGACCTGACAATATACCAGCAGAAGCACTGAAGTCATACATTGAAGTAACTGCAAACATGCTTCACATTCCATTCAGGAAGATTTGGGAAGATGACTAATTGCCGACGGACTGGAAAGAAGGGTATCTCATCAAGATACCAAAGAAAGAATATTTGAGCAAATGTGAGAATTACGGAGGCATCAGTTTGTTGTCAGTATCAGTAAAAGTTTTCAACAGAGTGCTGCTGAATCGGATGAAAGACGCAGTAGACGCTGAACTTGGGGATCATCAGGCTGGATTCCGTAAGGATCGGTCGTGCACAGACCAGATTGCGACACTACGGATCATCGTAGAACAATCAGTTGAATGAAATTCATCGCTATACATCAACTTCATTGATTGTGAGAAGGCGTTTGAGTGTGGACCTGGGAACGTTATAGAAACACCTTCGACATTATGTAGCTCCTGAAAAGATTGTCAACATTATCTAGAACTCATACGACGGACTACAGTGCAAAGTGGTTCATGGAGGACAACTGACAGATGCATTTCCAGTAGGGACCGCAGTCAGACAAGGCTGTCTACTCTCCCCCTCCTTTTTCTTCTGGTAATTGACTGGATTATGAAAACCTCGATATCTGACGGGAAGCACGGGATACAATAGACATCTCAGAATCAATTAGACGATTTGGACTTCGCTTATGACCTAGCTCTCCTCTCTCATGCACACGAAGAAATACAGAAGAAGACAACAAATGTAGCAGCAGCCTCTGCATCCACAGGCCTCAACATACACAAAGGATAAAACAAAATTCTCAAATACAACACGGAGAACACCAACCCAGTCGCACTTGATGGAGAAACTCTGGAAATGGTGGAAACATTAACGTACCTGGGAAGCAACATTGATGAACAAGGAGGATCGGATGCAGACGTACAGGCGAGGATTGGCCAAGCAAGAGGAGCATTTCTACAATTGAAGAACATATGGAACTCAAAACAACTCCCAACTAACTTCAAAGTGAGAATCTTCAATACGAACCTCAAGACAGTCCTACTGCACGGAGCTGAAACGTGGAGAACAACAACATCCATCGTCAGGAAGTTACAAGTATTTATAAACAGTTGTCTACGCAAAATACCGGATACTATCAGCAACAGCCTTTTATGTGAGAAGACAAAGCAGCTTCCAGCTGAAGAGGAAATTAGGAAAAGACGTTGGATGTGGATAGGACATACGTTGAGGAAATCACCAAACTGCACCACGAGGCAATCCTTAACTTGGAATCCGGAAGAGAAGAGAAATAGAGAAAGGCCAAAGAACACATTACGTCGGGAAATAGAATCAGATATGAAAAGGATGAATGTTAAATGGAAAGACCTGAAAAGGATTGTTGAGGATAGAATTGGATGGAGAATTCTGGTGGGCGGTATATGCTCCTCTATGAAGGTTAGGTCAGTAATAATTTATAGACGAACCAATCAGGTATAAGATAACAGATTTCGGATTTCGATGCGGAATTCATGCATTCATTTGACTAAATAGTATTTCGTCAATTTAGCTGATGTTAGTTCGTGATGGAAACCCTTAATCTAGTTCCCAACCCCGACTGTCAACTGTAAATCATAATTGTAGTTTCTCATACTGCTTTCTAACCTTCACTTAGACTTAGTAAGTAGGTGTACATTCTCAAGGTCAGTATGGTGTCGCTAAAAAGTTGTCCATAAATTATGATCTGACCAATTGGTTTGCAGTTGTGACAAAGCTGTGATTAGCAGAGATGGATAGTGGCTAGCAGTGGAATCCAAGACGCACGTTTCGTCCTATTTGGGACTCGTCAGCTGGATGTACCTACCAGATCTCAAAGTTGATGTTCACTCTGGGACTCGAACCCAGTACCCTCGCTTCAAACGCCACCGCGTTATCCACTCGGCCACTGAGTCCTGATAGCCACTTGCTTGTGCGATGGGGTGAAGTTTAAATTCACTTGGTATTGTTTGTTTGAATCTTCCCATCGATTTTGTTAGGACTGCAACTGGTCAGTCTCTAATTGGCATATGTGCATACTGTGCGTATTGCCTCGATATACCTTAATTCACAAGCATGGTTAGCGGAGATGGATAGTGGCTTGCAGTGGAATCCAGGACGCGCGTTTCGTCCTATTTGGGACTCATCATCTGAATGTACCTTCATCTCAGAGTTGATGTTCACTCTGCACATATGCCAATAAGAGACTGATCAATTGTAGTCCTAAAAATCAATGGGAAGATTCAAACAAACAATAGCAAGTGAATTTAAAGTTGTGATTAGTTGAGGTACAAATAACAAATATGAAGACTTGAATAGAATTTTCATTCTATATTAACTTTCATCTAAAAAAAATGTAATATGGAATTAGAAGGGTAATTCCTATTTCACATCAGTGAGTTAAATAAACTTCTGATGACCCATAACGACTGAAAATTGACTCAGATCTGCTAGTGCTGTTTCACACAACATTGGTTTAGTATAGGGACAAAGTCATAGAAGTCCGTATTCTATTGGTCACTATTGTCACTTGGTATTCAACTAGGCATATCACATGATACTTTAGATAAGTAATTCAAGTACAGTTTCATACGTTCAACATTTCAGTTGAAAGGAAATTACAAACATCATGAACTATTTAATTATGTAAAGTCTCACTGTTCATTACAAATATGTGTATAAATAATCAAAGTGAAACAAAGCTTTAAAACTATACTCACTGAACTCAGTTGTTGTACTGGTCACTGTTGTATTATCTACAAATGCAGATAATCACAACAAGAAAAATAATTAAATGATTTAATAATGGGAAACAGTCAAAACTTAAAATGGGAAGTAGAAGAAGAAGAAGAATAGTTGGGAATTATTTTACTTATCCCAATGTTCTTCAATGATCATTATATGTCCAATACCATTATATGTTACAGAACAGTCAGTATTATAAATATTTTATGTTCTGATGATGTATGTAAAAGAATTTGGTTCAGTATTTAAAGAAGACTCAAACTGAAGTACTTTGGCGAGACTACAATTGATGGATGGACCAATCATGTATAAGATAATAGGTGTTAGATTTCGATGCGGAATTCATGCATTCATTTGGCTAAATGTCGCTTTAGCACTTTAGCTGATTTCAATTGGTGATGGAAACCCTGAATCTAGTTTCTAGGCCTGACTATCAACTGTCAATCATAATTGTAATTCCTCACACTGCTTTCTAACCCTCATGTAGCTTTAGTAGTTAGGTGTATATTCTCATGTTCTGTATAGCGTTTGCTGAAAAGTCATCTGTAAATTATATTCTCACCAATTAGTTTGCAGTTGTCACAAACTTTAAATTAATGAGGTGCAATCACGAAATATGATAATCTGGACAGGACTTTCATCGTGTATTGTCTTTGTAATATCTCCAATCGATTTATGAATCATAAGTTTGAGAACTATTTCTGGACCAATATGATATGTCTATTACTTATCGCATAATTGTAAAGTATTTTAAGTATTCATATTAATGTTCCTTTTATTAGAAGGGTTTTGTGGAGATTTGATATGCTCCATAGTTGGTTTCGAATCTCACGAGAGCGGGTTCGTGGATGCGCACTGCTGAGGAGTCCCATAATAGGATGAAACGGCCGTCCAGTGTTTCCAGGTATTCCTCGGTGGTCTAGCTTCAATTGACTCATGCTTTCAACTATGAAATGTTCCTTTTATTGTGAGCTTTATTTTGACCCATAGACTATTCTTGTGCAAATCACCATTTTTGAGTCACACCCAGTCTATTGATTACTGTTCCCTCTATTCACAGCCACATTTGGCTGAATCTTGTACAAATGTTATTTTCTATGTTATGGTACGATGTGGTCAGTTTATTTGGTATATAAACGTAGTATGTTCGAAAATAATGATTCATAATGCAGAGGCTGATATTGGTGTTCTGGATTTAACTGGCTGAGCTAGGAGGTAGAAAGCAGGACTGATAGGTACTCAAGACTACTCGCACGGTTTCCGTGTGTCACTGTTCCAATCGATAATTTGCTCCTCTCTGATTAGTGGTCTTATCGCGTCATACATTAACAGGGCTTCCACTCGGCGACAAGTAATAACAATCTCTAATCAAGAAAGTTGTGATATTGAATTTGGATGGTAATTTCTAACTCACATCAATGACTTAAATAAACTTCTGATGTTATGTAGTGTAGATTTAGTGCAATAATATCTAATGTAGCTTGTTAATATGGTGATTTTATTTTCTGATCCCATAATCACGATAGGTGATTACCTTTTAGGTTCCTAGCAAATTAACTTTATCGGTAAATTAATGAACGTGCCAGTAGTCCTAGACCAAGACTTATAGATTTACGACTTCAGCATTATTATAAGTGATGAATATAATGCTGTTGGAAATTCTTTTAAGAAGACTTAAACATCCAATGTAATGTTATAATGTAGCTCACTTAATGAGTATAGTTTTATTTACTCGACTTTAAGTCATATGATCTATAATAAACAGGTTTGTATTAAAAAGTTAGTCAAACTTAATTCGTTGGAATCGGATTATAACTTGTGATTGAGTGATCTAACAATGAAGAAATCAATCCAAATTCTACTCAATAATGTATAAAGGAGTGAATTTTCAAGTTTGATTCCAGAAAACAGTTACCTTAACATACATAACTCTTTTAAATTAGCATATAATAATCAAGAAATTGAACTCCGCCTGTAGCTTTTATCGAGTTACTGCCGTTCCCAAGCTCGGGTAAAGGAGGAGGGTTGGACATGGGGGTTCACGACCCTATCCTGTAGAAAACTAACTTGCTGAAAAAACGCTAACCAGAACTGTCGGAAGGTCAATACTCCTCCACGAGGGGTAACAGGCGTAATTCAGGCGAAAAATTCAGTCTGATTGAAAAACATGTAAATACAAGCTAATGATTATGATATAGAAAATAACTATGTTAGAGACTTAATATCAATTTAGGTTTATATAAGGGGTTAAGTCAAAACAATACATTTACAAAGAGAATTATGTAACTTACCAAAACTGATAGGATCTGCATATTTGATGTTATCGATAAAATCGAAAAACAAAAATTGTTTAAATAAATTAAAGTAACTTGACAATGAAATATTATTTTTGAATTTATATCTACTTTATAGCGTTGAAATCATGAGTCAATTGAAGCTAGACCACCATCGAAAACCTGGAAGCACTGGACGGCCGATTCATCCTATTGTGGGACTCCTCAGCAGTGCGCATCCACGGTCCAGCCACGCGAGAGTTGAATCCAGGATCCACCATTATCGCGCCAGAGCACTTAACCGATAGGCCAACGAGGCGGCCGGCATCCAACGGTGTCATGTTTAACTTCAACCGATCCACGCAGTTGAGTAACCATTTCACCAATGCCTTCAGTGAGTTGATGACATGGTTGCTTAACTTCATGGATTGGTTGAAGTTAAACATGACACCGTTGGATGCCGGCCAGCTCAGTGGTCTGTCGGTTAAGTGTTCTGGCGCAAGACTGGTAAGTCCTTGGTTCGACTCTCGCGTGGTTGGATCGTGGATGCGCACTACCGAGGAGTCCCACACTAAGATGAAACGGCCGTCCAGTGCTTTCAGCTTTTCCATGGTGGTCTATCTCTAATTGACTCATGATTTCAACTATATATAAGAAAGTAATAAAAGTAACAAAAATATGCCTCAATGAATTGCACACAATCATGAACTGATCAGAACTTACCAGTAGTATAGTCTTCTGTATAATCTTAAAATTCAAATAATTAGATTAAAGTAATTAATAAACGAGTTTAGATTTATTAAAGTGTTTTTCACATTCAGTTTTCTACATCCTATGAAGGTTACATAAGTCAAATAAGTTAACATCCATTGAAGAATAAACGATAGTCAAGGATCATTGAGCGACTGAATCTATAAGATTTAAGAATATGCACAAGTCTTATTTATCTTTCCATCAGCATCAGCCTACTGTAGGATACGAAACACCAACATCCAGCTGAAGAGAAAATTAAGGAAAGATTCATTAAGTCATTAGGATGCACATTGAAGAAATCATCAAACTGCATCACGAGGCAAGCGCTAATTTGGAAATCTGAAGAGAATCGAAAAATAGGAAGGTCAAAGAACACACTACATCTGGAATCGGAAGTAGACATGAAAAGGATAAATATAAACTGGAAAGAACTGGAAAGAATTGCCCAGGACAGGACTGGATAGAGAATGCTGGTGAGCGGCCTATGCTCCTCAATGAGGAGTAACAGGCGTAAAGAAATATGTAATCAAGTTATATATGTTTGTGTGCTTTGTGTCATGAATTCGTGCTTTGTTTATTAATGAGTAAACGATAGAAAGTTACATATGAAATTAAAGTTTATAAATTTGATCATGTTTTCTAGTTTCAAATATTTAACATTATGTTTAAAAAAGATTGACATAAAACAGGATTTACTTAAACTGGAATTTGGACAATAATCAATTTTGAATAGTTGTAGTTTAGCCAAAAATATATTTTCACTGTTGAAATGATGAGTCAATTGAAGCTAGACCACCATCGAAAACCTGGAAGCACCGGACAGCCGATTCATCCTATTGTGGGACTCCTCAGCAGTGCGCATCCACGATCCTGCATTCGCGAGATTCAAACGCAGGACCTATCAGTCTCGAGCCAGAGCCCTTAACCGACAGACCATTGAGCCGGCTGGCATCCAACGGTGTTAATGTCTAACTTCAACCAATCCACGATTTTGAGCAACCGTTCACCAATTGTCTTCAGTGAGTTGACATCTCTACAACAGACTTGGTAGAACTTCACTTGCAAAAATATATTTGCAAAAATAAAGCTCAATCAGAGACATCATGGTTGCTGGCAGGTGTTATGCAGCGAGAAGGATGTACATTATTCAGATATCGATTGACTGAACTGGGAACATCCAATTGGTAACCAATCAATATTTATCGGAAGGGTTGATCAAGAAAAAGGAGACGAAAACTTCAACTTCTTTTAGAATTCTGATATAACCGGGATGAGGAAGCAAAATCAATCTTAATTCAATATATTGATTATTCGGTGTAAAATTTGTTTTTGTTACCCAGTGTGATATTCTATTCGGTATAACATACGATATTCTTGTATTGAATTAAAATGAACTGTGGACAGCATGACATACACCATGTGGTTTGTTATAGATCTGAATATTTTTTATTACTAACTTACGCCTGTTACTCCCAATGGAGCATAGGCCACCGATTCTGGTTGGCATCTTTTTAAGTGAGTTCGTTTTCTACGCGATGGGGTCGCTAACCCTATGCACAACCCTCTACCTTTCTCCGGGCTTGGGACGGGCGGTAGCCCCCGGAGAGACTACAGGTGAAGTGTTTTTCATACAAGTGATTTTACTCTAATTAATAATCGAGTATATTTTCAACGTGAGTCGTTGTAGTGTTTTGAGGTTTATTAATTCATCACTTGTATCAATCTTGGTGTTCTTAATTTATGTCGTGGAGAATTGTAGTGGTTCCTTGTTTTCAAGTAAAACTATTAAGCGACCTAAACATAGCAAAGTAATTCTGTGAAATTTATCCAAAAACACTTCTTTTCCGGTCTCAGTGGAAACACTGTAAAAAAAAGAACTACTTTAAGAGCTGTGTTTGACTGGATAATGAAGACCATCATATCTGAGGGGAAGCATGAAATACAATGAATAGCTTCCATGCCACTAGACGATTTGGGATTCTCACATGACCTAACCCTTCTATTCCATACATACGAAGAAATGCAGGTGAAGGAAACAAGTGTAGCAGAAGCCTCTGCATCAGTAGGCCTCATAATATACACGGGAATAATCAGGTTCCTCAAATACAACACAGAGATTCCCAACTGAATCACACTTGATATAGAAGCACTGAAGGAGGTCGCACCATCGATGAACAAGGAGAATCTGATGCAGACGTAGAAGCAAGGATTAACGAATAAAAGACAGTATTCCTACATTCGAACAACATCTGTAACTCAAAACAACTATCAGCCAACATCGAAGTCGGAATTTGCAATACCAACGTCAAGTTAATTTTATTGTAAGGAATTGAAACTTGGAGAACTACCACAACCATCATGAAAAGTGTACAAGAACTTATAGGCAATTGTCTACTCATGATACTCAATATCGTTTGACAACAATCTGGTTAGGGAGAGAACAAATAAACTTCCATCTGAAGAGTAAATAATGGAAAGACGTTGCGAAAATCATCAAACTGGATTGCAAGGCAAGCGCTAACTTGGAAACCTGAAGAAAAATGGAAAAGATGAAGGCCAAAGAACACACTTCATTGAGAATTGGAAGCTGATATCGAAAGGATAATTAGCATTTGGAAACAGCTGGAAAGGAGAGTTGATTGGTGACTCATGCTCGTGCACGAGGGATAACAGTCACAAGGAAGTTAGTAACACCGAAACTAGTAATGTGGTGTGAGCTACTGATATCGACATAAGTAGTATATATGGTGAGTAAGGAATAGAATATCTGACAGCGGAAGATTGAGAAGATCAAGAAGAGAAGAACAGAAATAAAAAGCAATTTGTGTGGAAATCCAGGAACAATGAAGCCTGAGGCAATGGAAGAACATTTTGCAAATAGTGTATCATAGCATGTTTTTTGTATTTTACTAAGTAACGTTGTAATTTGTGCTAAATACATAGTTGGTTGTCCTCACCTGTGTTCTCATTCACAACAGTAATACTGCTTTCAAAAATGAACTAAAAAAGTATTATCTAATTCATTCATATTTATTCCAACAATAATCATATATCAGAAGGGGGTTTTGTGGAGATTTTTAGTAATTTTATAAAGTTGAAATCATGAGTCAATTGAAGCTAGACCACTATGGAGAACCTGGAAGCAATAGACGGCCGTTTCGTCTTATCGTGGGAATCTTCTATCGGTTAAGCGCTCGCGCGCGCGACTGATAGGTCCCGGGTTCGAATCTCGTGAGGCGGTACTTCTATAAGAATTATATATATATGAAAATATTAGAAATGTTTCTGGGAAATCAAACAGTAAGTTTAAGAAAATACTGTCACTAAAACTTACTATCTTCTTGTGCTTGACCAACTGAAATGAGAAAAAAAGTGTAAATTGTTAGTATTGTGGTGTATGCTACTTGTGCTTGCAGATTTATGTAGTATTTAGCCGCAATCGGAAATGGACTGTTTGGAAGCAGAAGATCGAAATGATGAAAAACAGAAAGGAACTCGGAGAGGAATCGAAATAACAACAGAATTCGAGGAATAATAGAGTGTGTAAAAGTGAACGCAAAAATGTGTTTGTATGGTTTTTCATATTTTACTAAACTACTGTGTGACTTGGTATTTTAGTTTTCCTCATCTAACTTGTTGTTCACTACAGTAATAGTTCTACATTCTGAAATGTTCTCTTTACAAACATTTTATCCTAACTTTCTATATACACAATAGTATTTCCAAGTAAAGACTAATACAAATCAATATAACTGTAGTAAACAAGAAGACGGATAAGGACAATCAAATGTATTTAAGCACAATTTACAGACTATGCTACTAAAATCTGATGACCATACAGTGAACAGTTGATTTGCAAGATAGCAATCAATCATCTCAATCTTGAACGTTCCTTCAAAAAATATCAGTCCATTTTCTCTGATTTGATTGTTTATACATTTTCATACCGATTACGCTTCCTTCCTGTTCTTTCCTTATCGATTTTCTGCCAAAATACATTCTATACCTGACCATAACCATGTACTACTTATATGGATATAAGTAACCCACACCATATACCTTCTATAAGCTAAATAAATCTAAAAGTAATATCTTGATATCATAGACAAATTCTAAATCACTCTTCAATACAGATTATGAGAGAAATTAAATACTTATAAGCAAAGATGGACAGTGGCCAGCAGTGGAATCCAGGACACACGTTTCATCCCATTTGGGACTTGTCAGCTGGATGTACCTGCATCTCATACAAACAATTTCAAGTGAATTAAAAAAAACTTGTTTCCATAAAACGTAGTCATTGATGATGTTCAACATAGCAACAAGGAAAACGCAAAAATGCAGCTACTTATCTCAGAGAATTTAATAATAATAATACCAGATTTAAAACAATTAGTTCATTTGATAAACTATGATAATGTAGTGAGAAGACGAAGTTTCTCAGAATTATGTAATATATTTGAGCAATACATTTCGAACAATCTGATCACATATATACTTGTCAAGACACTTTTATATGAAAATTAAAAGGTCAACTAGACAGGTTAAAGGTAAGCCGTAAAAAGGAAAGAAAATGAACGAAGTACACAAAAACAATGTGATAACCACTCTGGACAATAAATCAGCATTACAAGGGTAGGTTAAGGGTAAGAACAAATTGTTTTTTAACACATAAAGGGGTTTCAATTTCCGTATAGCCAAGGCTTCAATAAACCTTAGTATACGTCCTTGAGGGCTTTTGTACAACTTTACAAATGCTGACTTGATGTCCAGTTTATGAACAGTCTCAACCAAACGTTTCTCAGTGGAGGAAGATGTCTGTCTGTCCTGTGATCTTATTTGACCATTGGAATTCATTTGGTTCTGCAGCCATTTGGGTATGTGTTCCTCCACCCTTAATTGCAGATCACCATTGCTCCTCCCTATGTACGTGTTTCCACACATACATGTAAATTAATAGACACAATGGGATGTTACAGAAGCGCTCACGTGCTGTTTGGGTTTTCGATGAAACTTAGACCTTGTCTTCTCAATACTGACAAGTTGGGTTGCATAAAATGTCATGTTGATGGCTAAATTCCAATCTCCGTTTCAACATGAGACTATTTGAGTCACTCCTAAATGGTAACATAGGGTAAACTCGCTTTTCCGGTGCCAGAAGCGTTATAGGTCTAATCGTTTCGTAGCCCATCTAGCGGTTTATGAACTTCAATAAACAACCATTATTCATCAACTTATCAGTCAAGGGTTTCCTCTCTACTTCAATAGTATCTCTAGTACAAATACGATTGATTCTATCGAATAAGCCCTTTATTAATCCATGTTTGTAATGAATTGGGCGTTAAATGAATGCGTTTGATTAGTTCTAAACTTATAAATAATTATGGAAATAATTTTGGTTAATCATTTGCCACATTTTATTTGACGTTATGAGAGAAAGGTACTATTGTGGTGTGTGTTACTGATGTTGACAGATATAAGTAATAGGTATTATCAATCCAATATGAGATGCCTAGTGGCAGAAGGTTAAGAAGATCAGAGAGAAGAAAACGAGAACAGTGAAATGAGAAAACAATGATGTCCGAGACGATTGATGACATTTTACAAGTTGAAGTATTTACTGTCTGGTTCTAAGACTTTACTAGGAGATTCTGTAATTTTGTGGTGCAATACATTCGATGGTCCCCACTTGTGTTCTCCTCACTACAATATGCTCGATTTACTCTGTGAAAACTAACATAAGGATACAAGTATCTCCGACTGACGAGGTTAAAAATAGGATGAAACAAGCGTCCTGAATCTAACTACTATCCATAGTCTAACTATAGTAAAGCCTTGTGACTAAATAACAGTTGTTATTCAAAATCATCATGTTTCATAAGATGGTTTGTCTTAATAGTAACAACTCGGATGGAAAACTTCGTATGTTTCTAATTTCTATGAAACGCTGAAAAGAAATAAATTCATTTTTCAGTAGTTATGTACTGTTTTAAAGGAAGATTTTATGAATGAACGAAGCTTGTATTTGATATAATCAATCACTCGAATACTGACCAATCAGTCCATGTAATACTACGATGGGACTACGAGATAGCTGTTCAACAGAACGAATTATAGGCTCTAGCCTGGAATGAGTTAATACCAAAACAATACAATCTTGAGTCAATTGAAGCCAGACCACCATCGAAAACCTGAAAGCACTGAACGGCCTTTTCGTCCTATTATTGGACTCCTCAGCAGTGCGCATCCACGATCCCGCACTCGCGAGATTCGAACCCAGAACCCCCTATTCTCGCGTGCGAGCACTTAACCTCTAGACCACCGAGCCAGCTGGAATCCAACGGTGTTATTGTCTAACTTCAACTAATCAGTTAAGTGCTCTGGCGCGAGACTGGTAGGTCCTAGGTTCGAATCTCGCGAGTGCAGGATCGTGGATGCGCACTGCTGAGTAGTCCCATAGTAGGACGAAACGGCCGTCCAGTACTTTCAGGTTTTCGATGGTGGTCTGGCTTCAATCGACTCATGATTTCAACTATGAAAATACTAAATTCTCCACAAAACCCCTTCTGAAAATAGTTTTGTTGATCACGTATTCATCAGTAAAATAAGATCTAAACATCGAACACAATTTATCATCGTTTTGTCAACCATTGAAATAACTACTTCTGTCATCTAACATTTTAGGTAGATTAAATCACTATTCGAGGGTCAGACATATTGACTTGAGTTACAAATTAAGATAAAAATTCAGTCGTATCATTTAATTTTTGAAATTTCTTTCTTTTTAATTACAACTTTTTTTATAAGATGGTGGTTGCAGGTGGTCAACAGGAAACCCTGGACCCGGGTTTCATGCTACTTGGCATTCATCGGCAAGGTGTACCTGTGATCTTCAGGGAACTGGTGCTCCCTGACAGATTCGATTCCGTGTCATCCAGCTTCACAGTCAGATACGTCACCACTGAGCTATTCGGGCCGTGACCTCCTGTAGGACTAAGATGCAATCACAATCGATTGATCACTGGGTGGTGATCAATATCATGCGTGTTAAGTCCTTCTTGACTCAACATCACTTAGAAATTTCAAAGAATGCTTTTAAGTTTCCAGTGATATTATAACTCATACCATTGAATGAAAAGACGTATATTTTAAATAAATTAAAATAATCAGAACCTTTTGGCTTCACGACTTTTGTAATCACCAATATTTATTTTTTAAAACTTAGGCCCAACAATTTTATGTAACCGATTTTCAAATGACAGCTAAGCGTAGAGTTCACAACACTTAGTTCATACAGTTTGGCACCATTCACCTAGTTGGTTTGCGAACTCAGTGTCGATGTCCATGTTGAGACTCGAATCCAGTTCTCATCCCTTTAATTATTAGTGTTTGCTACCAGCTTAAAGAGTTACGATAAACAACAGCGAAAAGTATATTTAATAATCGAGGTAAAGTTAAGTATTTTTTTCTTAAATAAGAACTGAATAACAGTTTACTCATCATCATCATCATCATCATCATCATCATCATCATCATCATCATCATCATCATCATCATCATCATCATCATCATCATCATCATCATCATCATCATCATCATCATCATCATCATCATCATCATCATCATCATCATCATCATCATCATCATCATCATCATCATCATCATCATCATCATCATCATCATCATCATCATCATCATCATCATCATCATCATCATCATCATCATCATCATCATCATCATCATCATCATCATCATCATCATCATCATCATTTTTAATCGTATATTAAAAACAGATTTCATGTCGACAATTTTATGAAGTTGTTGAACAGATCAAGTTTTAACTTTACGACATCAAGAAGGAATTATTCATCGACTGATATGTTGCGTTGATTTCAACCTTTAAATTATTTTATGTTGATCACTTGGTAACTAATCCATTGTCATACTTTTGCCATTGAATATATATTTTGTACACACATGGCAGCGTTAATTTCCTGATATATATATATCGCAGTTTATCAGTATCGCCCTCAAATTCCCTGGCATGCTCGAGGGTGGGGTGAGTACGCATTCCTGTCGAAATGTTCTCACATGGCCACACGTATACAACTACAACCAGAAAAGTCCCACTAACTGCCTTCTCTTGGCGGTGGTGTTGTTTACGAAGTCGATGGGACGGAAAGAGAATATCCGGCGCTTTAACTAGGTTGAAGGGTACGAAGGTTTCACCTAGAGGAGTTAGAAAACCCTGATTTCAAACCGATGAATCACATTGGCTCCAGTATTCTGAGGGCACAAATAACGTATGAACCAATCGTTAGTCATCGAATACCATAGGATTAACGTTGTTCCACTAGTTTGGACACTAGACCTCTAGGTCATAAGTTCGGAGAGTGCCTCCCCCCCTTAAGAAAGTCACTTTCTTCAGTTTGGACAGTCGATCAGTATTCAATCCTTTACACAAATCGAATGATGAAGTGTCGAGCATATATATTTGTTACCTTCTTATACCAACGTTTATAATGTTTAAATAAATTAATATAAATAAATTGACTCACATTTTCCATTTAAAAGTAAATTTATTAAACAGATAATACACCAACTATAAGTTATATCCATTTGTATATTAAATTGTATATAATCTACATAGTACATTATTTATTTATATTATATGACACTATTGCATAATACAAATGCACAATTATGTAATTTATGTGTGTGTGTGTGTGTAGTTTATGTGGTTGTTACGTAATACTATCTAAATTATGTGAATGAAACAATGATTAGTCAATTTAATTGGAGGCAGAAACGATTAAGAAAACTGAATACTGATCAATTGGAATAATGACCGTAGGTGTTTTAAATGTATAATTTTTTTTCTAAATGTGTGAATTTTGTCACAAAATTCATTTTATAATAGTTAGTGTTAAATATTATCAGAAGGAGGGGGGTTTATGGAGATGGGCGGCTCGGTGGTTTAGAGGTTGAGTACTCGCGCGAGAGACTGATAGGTCCTGGGTTCGAATCTCATCAGGCGGGATGGTGGATACACAATGCTTTAATCGATTCATGAATTCAACCATATAAAATTATTAGAATCTCCACCGAACCCCCTTCTAATAATCATTATATGCTCACTAGTGACTGACTTCAAGTGATATTTCCTGAAATTCTACTAAGAAACAGTGACCAGTGGAGTTCAACGAGGTCTGTTGTGAGATATCAAGTCACTGAAGATATTGGTGAATGGTTGCTCAACTTCGTGGATTGGTTGAAGTTACACATAACACCGTTCGGTGCCGGATGGCTCAGTAGTTTAGAGGTTGATCACTCGCGCGCGAGACTGATAGGCTATGGGTTCGAATCTCGCCAGGCGAGATCGTGGATCCACACTGCTGAGAAGTTCCACAATAAGATGAAATGGCCGTTCAGTGCTTCTAGGTTTGCCATGGTGGTCTGGCTTCAATTGACTCATGAATTCAACTTTAAAATTGTTAAATATTTATTGACATATTTATTAGTATTGTTGAGTTTAGCATTAGATATCATGATTAGATCAATGTTAGATCATAATTGAAAATCTGGGATCACTGGAAGGCTGTTTCATGTAGTATGAGATTCCTCAACAATCTGCATCCATGATCATTCACATGGAGTACCATACTAGGACAGAACGGTCATCGAATGCTTCTAGGTTTTCAATAGTGTTCTAATATTGATCCATTCATGATATTAATTTAAATAGGCATATTTATTTGTTTTGTTTAAAGTTCGTTTTTCTTCAACCAGTCCTTCTTTTTTCCTCTAAAAATTTTAAAAGTTTTGAAAAATAAAGATGGATAGTGCCTAGCAGTGGAATCCAGGAAGCGCTTTACGTCCCATTTGGGACTCGTCAGCTGGATGTACCTGTGCTTGTGAATTAAGGCTATATCGAGATTATACGCAAAGTATGTAAATATGCCAATAAGAAACTGATCAATTGCATTCCTAAACATCAATGAGAAGATTCAACCAATCAACTGTTCAATGATCAAGTGCTATGTGTGTTATATTCGAACAAGATGAAATTATGTGTAACTTCTAGGAACCATTTATGCTTATATATCTATATCTATATATCTATATATCTATATCTATATGCTTATATTACTTTTATAATAAGCTTTCATTTGATCCATGATATGCTCGATGCTATTACGAGTTCACCTTACTCGGTAAACGGAACAAATGTCAAAGACACGGTGACACGAAAGGCTATTCTAATCCATTGTCCCAGGCCCTGCTAACTAGATCAAGAATTGTTGATGAGGAATAGAGAATGTATTCTACAAGCACCCAGAAAACACGAAGTCACTATGCACACAAATCAAGCTTATTTATACAATGATAGAAACGCCATTGGGAGAGCCACAAAATAGCATACTAAAAAAATCCGTCAATCAATGACAGTCAAGGATTTCCAAGTAGGAAATGTAAGCTGTAAGTTAACTAAGCGTCTCTTGGAGCAAAAACATAAAATTCAAACTTTTAGAATAAAATAACAAAATTAAGATCTTTTCCAAGTGAGTTCTGGGGACCTAACGTCCTCAACAATCTACTGACCATTGTAATACGATTTACTGTACTTAAACTATGTCCAATTTATTAATTACAGTCTCTCACGTTCATAGCCACTTTTTAGCTTGATCTTGTACAAAGGTTATTTCTTATTCAATACTGTGATGTGATCTGGTTTGTTTGTATATAAACCAAATATGTCTGAAATATATTATTCATATTGTGGAAGCTAATATTTTTGTTCTGGAATGAGCAGACTCGGTTAGGCGATAAGCTGCAATCTCATAGGATCAATAAGAACTCAGAGTTCAATCTAGTCTAGTCGTATTGGTTTATGCGTTCTTGGTTTGGTACAGTATCAAAGTCATATAAGTCGGTGTTATAATTAACGATCTTATCATTTGATAATTATTAGGGGACAAAAGTCATAATAGGTTTGCAAATAGATTCTAGGTACTGAAAAGCTCATTAGGCAACAAAGACCTGGTTAAGAAAACTCAACTAACTAACAAAGACGATGTATTTCAAATAAAAATTAAACCAAGAGAGTGTCATTAGCGTAACATAATACGCAAACAAAGTATTTACAGCTATCGACAGAGAACTATAACTCTGAATAAACTTTCGAAGAATATAGGAAAAAATCAGACTTCAGTTATTTTTCATTGTTTACATAAAGCTCCTCTTCATGGATGCTGGATGAAGGTATTAATGATAATCGTATAAAGAATTGTTTGCAGATCCTAAAAATGCGATTGACATTGAAACCAATATTGAAATGTTTCATTACTTAGATGTATTTTGACTGAAGTAAAAAGGTATAACGTAATAGAATAACATCAATCCACTTATTTTATGGTCTTTCTTCAGTCAGTTACAATGAAGAAACAATAATAATTATAAGCAAAGATGGATAACGGCTAGCAGTGGAATCCAGGACGCGCGTTTCATCTTATTTTGGACTCGTCAGCTGGATGTACCTGCATCTCAGGATTGATGTTCACTGTGGGACTCGAACCCAGTACCGTTCGCTTCAAACGCCATCCCATTATCCATTCACCTACTGAGTCCTGATAGCCACTTGCTTGTGCAATGGGGTGAAGTTTAAATTCAATTAGTATTGTTTGTTTGAGTGGGTAACACGATGGCGTTTGAAGCGAAAGGTACTGGGTTCGAGTCCCAAAGTGAACATCAATCCTACGATGCAGGTACATCCAGCTGATGAGTTCCAAATGGGACGAAACGTGCATCCTGGATTTCACTGCTAGGCACTATCCGTCTTTGCTTACAATGCTTGTGAATTAAGGCTAGACAGAGGCAACGCAAAGTATGCACATATGCCAATAAGAGACTGACCCAATTGCAGTCCTAAACATCAATGGCAATATTCAAACAAATTTAATAATAATTATAATTATTATTAACATTGTACTCGCTAATATCAATTAGTTTAACACCAGTGTACATACTTTATGTCATATTATGGTGTATGCTACTGATGTTCACAGATATAAGTAGTAGGCATCATCAACCAAAAGTGAAATGCCTGGTTGCACAATGTTAAGAAGACCAAAAAGGGAGAACAAGGACAGAGAATGAATACTGCAGAAAGGAAGGAACAATGAAATCTGAGACGATTGATTAATAATTTGCAAATGAATTATTTACTGTATGATTCTCAGATTTTACTGAAAGATTCTGTAAATTTTTTGTCCGAATACAATGGATTGTCTCCACATGCGTTCTCAATTGTTACATTATTATTGAAAATTAGTAAAACAAAACGTGTGAAATCAAATCTATGCATCTTAGAAGGTGTTATATCCTAGTGAAGACATAAGTACGGGTAACTCCTAGGACCAATTAATGGACGATTATTCTATATATTTTATTATGGTTTAAATATTGAGTAACTAGATTATGTATATCTATATTCATCTTACTACAAGCTTCATTTCGACATATGGACTATCACTATACGAATTACTGTCCATCAATTATATTCAGTTTATTGATTATTGTATCCCACGTTCACAGGCACATTTGGCTCGATCATGTACAAATATTATTTTCTATTTTATGGTGTGATGAGGTCTGTCTATCTGGTATATAAACCGAGTATGCTTGAAATAAATGATTCGTATAGCACAAGCTGTAGTCGGTGTTCTGGACTCAATTGGAAGGGCTAGACGGATAAGGGACCAATAAGGACGCTAGACTATTCAAACCACTTGAACGTCATTGATTTTGCACAGTGTTAAGATTAGACTAGTCGTATTCCGATTGGTGAATAATTCACGTGATATAAAGCCGGACATAAACTCATAACGAATTGGCATGAGTCGTATTTTTTATAAAGTCATAACAGATGGATTCAGCTATAAGTCTCACAGTACCGCAGCAACTTATTTTCTTTATTCTATTGAGTTACATCATCTCAATTATAAATTTCTTTTCTTCATTTGTGAGTTATTTTTTCAATATTACCCATTTTAATAGTATGATTCTATCTAATTTTACAATTGTTGTCACATGTATTTTAATTTTTCTGAAAAGTTGTCTCTAAGTGTTTCCAAAAAGCTGTTTCTAGAATTTTCGGATTCCTTAATCTATAAATATATACACACTGGAACATTTTTTTACAGTTCATTCATATTTATTGCTAAATAGATGACATTATGGCATTTGAAGCGAATGGTACAGAGTTTCAGTCCCGAAGTGATCATCAACTCTGCGATGCAGGTGCATCCAGCTGTCGAGTCCGAAATAGGGCGGAACGCTCGTCCTGGGTTCCACTACTAGCCACCATTCAGATCTGGTCATAATCAGTTACATTGTGTTTACAGTTTGTTCTTGCTAAAGTTAAATATTCCAATGGAAAAAATCGTGTAAAGTAGTTTCATGCTTTTGAGCTGAGCGTTTGACAAAAGTAATTTTCAAAGTTCATTGGTCTCCATAGAATACGTCCAAGTAATATTCATGGGCACATTAATGACTAGTTTTGCGACTGATCTCCTGAAGTCTTATAAAGAATCAATGACTAGTTGTGAGTCCAAAATTTTGATAAGCCCCAAGCAAGATTAAAATAATTACCCTGTAATCTCTTGTTCATAAGATCATTCCCCTTATAACATCGCAATCAAATCTGTATTTATCTGGCATGTTTTATATTCGAAAGAATTGGTGGTCGGATTTATTTCGCTTACAATTTCAACGACTTCATTAATTTTATACGTCCACTCTGATCTTACTGGCCGGATACTATCAGCGACAGCGTATAAATT